TAGCTGGTAGTCTATTAACAACAACTAACTATGAAATGAAACTATATCTGGGCATGTGAAGTGGACGAGATTAGTTTACCATTGTACTCTGCTATTCTTCATTCTAGCTTGCTCCCGAGGACTTTTGCAACCGAACTTCTCATCAGGAGATAAATTCAATGGAACACAACAGCAGCGCCAACAGAGGGATAAACAATACGACATAGAGCAGCTTGTATGTTTATCATAATCAGACCTGGTTGCATGCCATTAGAAGTCACCATCGGATATGAGATCTGAGACTTCATCATTGGAAGGCAGACTAGACTGTTGAATTATTCTCATTCCAGAATTCTCGACCGAAGGACCCGATGGGTGCCAATTATCCTACCATAAATAAGCCTTCTTTCCATTCCCGGCCACAATCATTAGGAATGTTGATGCTCCAAATACTCCTGGCAGGAATCCCGTGCATAAGATGACCCCAAATAGAGCCTTTTGCAATTCAATGATTAATTGATTGCATAATTTCTTATGACCAGTTTAAACAATTGGTAACCATGGCGTGATCGAATGTAGTCTCTTCTCCGACCCTTCTTCGGCTACTTGACTCCTCCCAACATTTTTTTCATCCTCGTTAAATTTCAATCAGGTGAGAACAATAGTTTGTAATTCATTTGCATTTAGTTTGCTGAAGATCATCAGCCTTAATCAAAGCCTTTCCATATATACACAGCCTTAATCACAGCACAATCATATCTAATTCCTTCCCTTTCTCTCGCTCACAATTATGTAATAACGTTGCCTTCCTTTCTCATGTAATATGTTACACATTATATATATATAAATACAAGAACACTCACCAACAAATGAGGGTGGCAGTTTTCAAACATTCTCATGGTATCAGAGCATTCATCGGATTAACATCCCACGATGCTAATGACCTGCAACTCATCCAATTCTTCTCCCACCCTTCTTTCTTTCAACACCATGATTCACATGGTTACAATCAAGCTCTCCTCCTCTAATTATCTTCCATGAAAGAGTCAGCTTCTTCCTCTTCTTGAAAGCCAAGGTTTGCTGGGTCATGTGGATGACACCCTTGTGCCGCCGCCACCATTTGATCCTCTCACCTCTCAGACACCAAACAGCAGTCACCTAGCATGGAAAGCAATTGACCAGCGTCTCCTCAGCCTTCTCCTCTCCTCTCCTCTCTCACAGAGGAGGCGATGACTGAAGCTGTCGGCCTCTCCATATCCCATGAGGTCTGGACCGCCCTGGAAAGCACCTTCAGCCACTGCTCTAAGGCTAAATGAGATTCGTCTCAAAGATGACCTTTAATTGATGAAGTGTGGCACCCGTACAGTCACTGTCTATGCCTGTGCATTCAAAGTTTTATGTGACCAGCTTCATGCAATCGGTCGCCTAGTTGATGAAACCGATAAAGTTCACTAGTTTCTTCGTGGTCTCGGGCCAGATTTCTCCACTTTCTCAACTGCCCATATGGCATAAACTCTTCTCCCCTGTTTCTCTGATCTCGTCTCTAAAGCTGAGAGTTTTGAAATTTTTCAAAAATCTCGGGAGCTTTTAGCGTCTCCAGTTGCATCATTCCCTGCCAACAGAAGCTCTTCTCATTGTGGAAGCAGCTCCTTTCGCCAAAATTATGGTTGTGGATACGGGTCCAGTAGCAAGTCTTCTCATTCTGGACAGAGATGTACTCACACCAACCAAGGTCCTCGTCCACCACGCTGCTAGATCTGCTGACTAGAAGGACACTATGCTGATCGTTGTAAGTAGTGCTATGATCGGCATGAACCCACTTCATACCTTGCTGAATCTGATTGGCTCTTGGATACAGGGGCTTCGACTCATATGACTACAGATAATTCCACATTGGAGCAGTCCATAGCTTACACGGGTAAGGAATGTGTAATTGTAGGGAATGGTGCGTCCCTACCCATTACCCACACAGACAATATTTTCCCTTCACTAGATCTCAAATTATTAGATGTTTTGGTTGTTTCTCACCTTACTAAAAATCTTTTGTCCATCAGTAAACTCATAAATGATTTCCCTTTATCAGTTACCTTTGCTAATAATTTTTTCACTGTTCATAATTGCTTAACGAGAAAAGTGGCGGCAACCGGTAGACGTGGTAGAGGCTTATATATGTTAGAGCGTGACAATTTTGCATTTATTTCTATTCTTAAAAATAAATCTTTTTATGATTTGTATGATTTATGGCATGCGTGCCTTAGACATGTTAATTATTCTATTTTTTTTTTATTAAATAAAAAAGGTCATTTTCATTTCACTTCTTTATTACCATCTCTTAAATTATATGACACATTTCAACTTGCAAAAAATGATCACTTACTTTATAATAATGAAAACAAGTCATCAAATGTGTTATATCTAATTCATTGTGACATATGAGATCCCTCAGCTGTAAAATCTAATTTGGGCCATAACTATTATGTTTTGTTTATTGATTATTATTCTCGCTTTACTTAGCTTTATCCTTTGAAATTGAAATCTGACTTCTATGATACCTCTATTCAATTTTAAAAATTAGTTGAAAACCAATATTCTTTTTGGATAATTTTTTTTCAAAGTGACGATGGTGCAAAATTTATAAGCAATTGCTTTAAAACTCACCTTCATACCTCGAGTATCCATCATCAGCTATCTTGCCCATATACTCCTGCCCAAAATAGTTACACTGAAAGAAAACATCGTCATGTGACTGGAACTAGTTTGTCTCTTCTTTTCCATTCTCACACTTCTCCTCACTTCTGGGTTAACGCCTTTAGCACTGCAACCTACATCATCAACTGATTACCTATATCGCTTCTCGAAGGTAAGTCCCCCTTGAACTTCTATATGGTTCTTCTCCTAATTATGAGAATTTTTATCTTTTTGGTTGCTGTGTGTATCCATGTTTACATAATTATATGTTAAATAAAATTTCCCCTCAAAGTATTCCTTGTATTTTTATGGGCTACAACACTTCTTATAAAGGGTTTCGTTGTCTTGACCCCTTTACATCTAGAATATATATCACTCGACATGCTTAATTTGATAAAAAATACTTTCCTTCTCTAGATACCTCTCACGCTCAACTCATGTCTTCCCTTCATTTTCAATTTTTTAGAACCAATCCCTCCCTATACAAACACGCCCACCTCTTCCCCAATACCACATTCCCCGCATATTACATAGTCCGGATCTAACTCGTGTATTCTTTGTACTAATCCCATGAACAAGGTTATGTAGATGGACAATTCTATTGCAAGTTCTTCTTCGCAGCACTCAGACCCCAGTTTAACTTCTCTTGCACCCACTGAATCGACTCCTCCTTTTCCAGTTGCTGTCTGTCAAATGAATTCTCATCCTATGCTCACATGAGCCAAAGCTGGAAATTTTTAAAACTTGGCACTCGATAAATCTTGCTTTTTTAGGATCCTTTGGTCTCCTCTCAGCTCTTTTAGCATCTATTGAACCAAAAGGATTCAAATCTGCTGCTAAGAATCCTTTTTGGCTCACTGCTATGGATGAAGAAGTTTAGGGTTCACAAAATAATCACACTTGAAATTTGATCCCTTGACTAGCCAACACCAATATTGTGGGTTTTAAATGGGTATTTCAGACCAAATATTTGCCTAAAGGTTCCATCAATCATCTTAAAGCTTGCTTTATTGCCAAAGCCTATACACAAATACCTGGTCTTGACTACACCGACACTTTTAGCCCGGTTATAAAGGCTACCACCGTTTGTATTGTCCTATCTTTAGCTGTGACAAACAAATGGCCTCTTCACCAACTTGATATCAAGAATGCATTCTTCAATGGTCATCCCACTGAACATGTTTATATGGAACAACCTCTTGGGTACATTGATCCTCGCTTCCCTAATCATGTTTGTCAATTGAAGAAAGCTCTTTATGGACTCAAACAAGCACCTCATGCTTGGTTTTAGCGTTTTAACTCTTTCCTCACTCAACTTGGCTTTTATTATAGTCGTGTTGACACATCACTCTTTGTTTTTCACAGGAAACCATGATGAAGACCTGATTTTCTTTGATTGATACTATTTGACAATCAAACTTGGCATCCAAACCTACGAGAAAACCCACAACCACCCACCCTTATCCAAATCACTGTAACAAGAAAATATTGATAAGTCATTGAAACTGAGTGTATTATATTCTAGTTTGCTCTTTTTTCATGAATTATTTCCTTCTCTGATTTTTTTTAATCTCATAAAAGAGTTGTTGAGTTATTGTAACAGAAGAAAAGTCTTAATTCTGAATTTTCTTGTGTTGTTCTTGTCTTCTTTGAGGTTGGTTGTCTTTTTAAACTACATAATATATGCTTCAAGTTTAACTCTCAAGTCTAAGAATTTTCCTTCTTCTTGGTTGACAACTTTATGTGTGAGCAGATATCGGTCCATTTGTATTTGTGGTGAACAAATATATATATATATATATATATATATTATTTTATAACTTCAATTTAAAAAGCATGTTTATCCAAACACATTAAACTACTTTTTATTCAAACTCAATTTCAATCACAGTTTTAACTAAACATATATAAATACCAAAAAAATCTCAGCTAAAAGTACTTTTATGAAAACCCGCTAAATTATAATCTGAATAAAATAAATAAAGTACCGAATAGATTAAATAAAAAAGATTTTAAGTATTGTGATTGGATACAATATAATAAAATATAAGATGCTATGGTGTGAATTAAGTAAAAAGAAGAGTTGAGTGACAAAAAATAGAAATGAGAAGAAATAAGGGTCAATGTGTAAATAGGTAAAAGTTGGACTATAAGTGCTCCATTCTTTTTCTCTTTTAGCCGTGAGCTTGAAACAAAAGAGAGGGGAGAATTGTGTGATTTTCTACTTAAATTCTCATTGATTGCACTAATTAAAAGGAGTGATTAACTTTATTAAACACCAAGAGGGGGTTGATTTTAATATGGTGAGTGCATTGGAGGAAGGATTTCACGTTAGGGTTTGAAGATGAAGAAGAACAAAACTTGATTTTTCTTGCATTCTTTCCTTAAATCCTTATCAAAGTGAGGTAAATAACATGCTTCAAATGATTAACTCATTTAATTTTATGTTTGATGAAGGATTATGCAAAATTATGATTATGTGAAGTTGTGGATTTATGTTATAATTTATAGGAATAATGCAAATTATATTTGAACGATGTTAGAAAACATAAACTATGATTGAGTAAGTGTTTAATTTTGAATAAAAGAAACAAAAATTATTTTTCCTCATTTTAATTGAATATTTGGCCAAAAGAAGAATAATTTAGGGGACTTGAGGTTTAATACAATTGTTTGAAAAATATGAGAAGATGAAGGTTTATAAGTGTTATTATATGAATGGAGTAAGAATTTTTTTAAAGAGAAAAGAAAAATCTTCACTTCTTTCCTTAGGTTGTTTTTGGCTAAATGGAGAATAAAAATTAGAGAATGGAATTTAAATGATATTATTGAGCGGTTTTTGGCTAAATGAAGAAGAAAAATTAGAGAATGGAGTTTAAATAATATTATTGAGGAATCTTACCAAATTAAAGACAATTAATGTTGATAGGTTAAATTAAATCGAGACTTTTATGAAAAAATAAATAAATGTTTAAAAAAGAGGGAGTGTTTTGTCCCCCTCGAATTAAAAATCAATTAAACTTAATTAAAAGTGTTGGATTAAATTAAAAAATATGTAATGGGTATTAGAATTTTACCGGTTTGAATGAATGAACAATGACAAAGTAATTTTATTGGTGCAGAGGAGACCGCAAGACCTAATCAGCAACAAGGGACCTCTTCACGTACACAGACACCATGTAGGTGTTCAACATCTCGGAGTAATTAATTAGTTTTTATATATTTTTAATTATAGAAGGAATTTTATTGATTATAAATTCTAGTGTTGGTTACTGAAAATAATTTAAATTTTATAAATTGTAAATTCTAGTGCTAGTTGCTATAAATAATTTGAATTTTATAGAGTGTAAATTCTAATGTTGGTTCCTAGAAATAATATCCTGGTGAATGGACAAGCTTTGAAAATTATTTCCTGGTTACTGGAAATAATGCCATGGTGAATGGACAGTTCTGGAAATAATGCCCTGATGAATGGGCAAGTCTTGAAGATTATTTCCTAGTTACTGAAAATAATACCCTGTTGAATGGGTAAGCCTTGAAGATCATTTCCTGATTACTGGAATTTATGCCTGTTTGAATGGTCATATTAAGAAAATTAATATACAAATTAATAGGATAATTACTTGATATAAAATAGATTAATTATAAAACTTTAAAGTTAAATATGCTGGTTTGTGGGAGACACTCTTGATATTTTTATTTTAGTAAATTTATCTTTATGTCTAGAAGAGAATTTCTGAAATTAGAGATTTAAAAAAAAAATAAGACAATTTATTCTATGATATAAAAGTCACTTTAATGTATATTAATAATTAGTCCTTAATCAATTACTTATTGAAATATGTAATTGTTTTAATCATGTTTAATGTGATTATGTTTTTAGGTACATCGCACCCTCAATATAAAAAGTAGATACTTGAATAAATAATTTTATTATGTGATTAATGTAATTGGAAGAACTAATATTTTGTTGTAATATAGTTTCATATCTAAAATTGTAATGTTTAATCTATTATCTTATGTATGATGTAATTTATAATGTTATTATTATTAAGTTGAATTATGGTTGGTTGTATATATATTGAACATAAATAGTTAAAAAAAATGAGACAATGTATATTAAGAATTTATTAGTTTTATTATAGTATTTTATAAAAAATAGAATTGAGATATTGAAATATGCTTGAGTTTTTGAAGTCTAAATAATGGGACGAATATTGTGATTGATGTTACAAGTTGAGAAATAATTGAGTCAATAACTTGGTATTTAAAGAATATAAAAGAAACTCTGCTGAAATTTCAAGAAAATATATATAAAGAAATTGAATATTACATATATATATATATATACATATATATATATATATATATTACAAGTTGAGGCTGTTATAACTTTTTATAAAACAATTTTTTTCAAAACACAATCACAAAAGTTACCACAATATCAAATACACTTTAAAATTATTATGGTTATAACTAATCAAGTTATTAACTTGAGAAAGGATATACATTTCATAATAATAACAATAATAATTGTTTAAAAGTGTGGTTATAATTATTTTTAAAATATTTTTTATGTTAAAATATATTAAAATAATATTTTTTAAAAAATTATTTTTAAAATCAACACCTTCAAACAATCCAAAATATATATATATAAAAATTAAATCAAAATAAAAAAAAATTAAATTTTTTAAAAACATAAATTTTCACGTTTCCAAACGCTCGCTCGTACAGGTTCTCTTATTGCATGTATGGTTCCATTGATGTTTGGTGGACCTTTAATTTAAAAAATTCACGTGCTTTGAAAAATTTAGGATCTTTCATTTTAGAAATTTACATGCTTAGAAAAATTTAGGATGTATAATGCTCCATGAAATGAGGAGGTACGTTTCGAATAAAATTTAGGTCTTTAAGAATCGGGGATTGTTAATCCATATCTTGGTGGACTTAGGTTAATTTGAACCAGAAAATAATGTCTGCCCTCTGCATGTAAATATGGGTTCGGATTCACTTAGCACTGTACAGAATTGAGATGGTTCTCTGAACAGCGAAGGCCCTTTTGCTGTTCAATCAAAGGCTTGTTTCAGCACAGCACATGATCATGAACATTGCATAGTTTTTTCTCAAGGATCTGAATTTAGGATCAAATTCTAGTGTACCTCAACCGCTGACAACTGGCCCAGTTCAATGGTTTTTTTTGTCATTGAATGGCTGCTAACTTCATATTATACAGTCACTTTTGTCGCTTTTGTTTTCAGACATCTTTCCCTGAAATTCTTACACTGTTGTCTTTTGTTTGTTTAAGTTTAGCTCGAGGACGGTATCTTCTTGAGAGAATATTAATCATCAATATGCCATTCCGTATTCTTTCTTATTGTCGAGTAGGAAACACAAGGGAAGCATTTCGAAGATTCTGATTGTGAGATGGGGGGGATGTCAAGTGCCAAAATGAAAGATATTGAGTAGGAAACAGAAGGGAAGCATTCATTTGCTTTTTTAATTCATTCTCAGCTCTATGATTGAAGAGTTTAAAAATGCAGTGAGACGAATCTCAACAATTAAGAATTAGGGTAAGAGACACACTGATGATCCATCAAACTTCACATGCTAAATTTATGTTACATCAAAGGTGCAACTTTCTAAAATTCACAGGTTTTGTGATATTTAACGTGATGGTGGTTGCGGGTGGTGGCTGTTCATTGAACCCACGTGCAAATGATACCTTCAGCTCAAGGATATTTCATTAGAGCGCACACTTTGACAAGCTATCTATATTCCGACGAGTATCTTAAGAACCCATGGTCGAAAACAAGTGAAGAAAAGTCAAATTTATCAAGAATAGTCACGAGATAAAACTCTCGTACCATGACAGATGAAGTCCAATAAGTGAAGAAGATGTAGTCCCCACTAATGTCAAGATCCAATTATTGAATTAAAGGTTTAATTTAATGTCCCTACAACTTCATCCTCAGCAGCAAATAAAACCAAGATTTTCTTGCTGAAGTGAAGGTGCCTTGGAAATTCAGATGATTTCCTTTTATTCTCAGCTCTTTCCATGATATTCATGTCCAGGAGGGATGGCGCACTATAAAGACCCTTCGAACCATGTTGTTATAGGATAGCTACCACTCTGTCCCGAAAGAAAGGTTAGATTCGCAGGGATGGGGTGGAAAACAGTAATGCAGAAATGTGTCTGAAAATGAGATCCCAACAGTCCCACTCAAGACAACTTTTCTATTGCAAACCTTTGTATGCTCGTGAACCTTGGCTTCCCTTACTTATGGTCTACCTCTACCCTCTTTATAGTAATATATATATGTCCCTATTCTCTTTACTCTCTCAAGTCCAGAGACCCTTCAGCGGGAATAGATGGGTACCGCTTCTTTGTGTTCTTCAATTCTACTTTTCACTCTCATTTTTCATTCATGCTTGCATTACAATGCGGTTGTTGGGACAGAGAGGGAAGCTTTAGAAATAATCATAGGTGGGGGTGGGGGTGGATATTGCCAAGCAATGGTTTTGTGAGCAAAAACATCGAAAGAGACTATTACACAATTCAGAGATTCAAGGAAACAATTAAGGATCCCCTGGGCATTACAAAAAAATGGGTGGGAAATGATGTCTGTAATTATCCAGGCTTTAAATGTGCAACTGGACCTGACCAGAAGGTGATAGCCCTTGCAGCGGCAGATTTCAATGGCTATTCTTTTGGTGGCCCGGATAGTCAGCTCACAGGTTTCCTCGATCAGTTGCTGGACTTGTCCATCTTCCATGCGAACTCCAACAATTTCACTGGTCCAGTGCCAAAGAATATTGGCACTTCCAGAGTCCGTTACTTATTTGAGGTCGATCTCAGCAACAACAAGTACTCTGGTGGATTCCCTATGTCTGTTCTTCAAGCCACCAACTTAACCTTTTTGGACATCAGGTTCAACTCATTTTCAGGGTCAGTTCCAGCTGAAGTCTTCACCTTAGACCTAGATGTGCTTTTCATCAACAACAACAAATTCTCACAACAGCTTCCTGGTAATCTCGGCTCCACACCTGTCCTTTATCTCACTTTGGCCAACAACAAGTTTAGTGGTCCCATTCCAAGAAGTATCGGCAATGCCCGAAACCTTCTTGAAGTTCTTTTCTTGAACAATGAACTCGAAGGGTGCTTGCCATTCGAGATTGGCAAATTGGACAAGACTGTCGTGTTTGATGTGGGCAGTAACAAGTTGACTGGCCCCATACCCCATTCATTTGCATGCCTAAAAAAGATGGAGAACCTGAATTTGGCCAAGAATAAATTTTACGGGACGGTGCCGGAGATGGTGTGCGACCTGCCTAGATTAGCTAACTTGTCTCTCTCATACAACTATTTCACTCAGGTCGGACCTGAGTGCAGGAAATTGATTTCGAAAAGGATTCTTGATGTTAGAATGAATTGCATTTTGGATCTTCCTGGTCAGAGATCAGCAGCTGATTGTGCCAAGTTCTTCTCTAAACAGAGGACTTGTCCCAATGAGAGGTCCCTCAGCTATATTCCTTGTAGGAAGGGTGGTTATTCAAGTTCATTGGAGACATCTGATCAACAATCAATGGCTCCGGCTGCTGCACCTATAACATATAATGCCCTTAAACCGCATAAGCTGCGGTTTTAAATGGATCCCTTCAAGATAATATAATGCCCTTAAACCTCATAAGCTGCGGCTTTAAATGGATCCCTTCAAGATAATCTCTTGATTTGCTTGATGGCTGCTCCTATCTATGTAAACATCTTTCTCCTAATCAGCTTATAGCTTGTGGTTATAAATCATAATGAATAAGGTGAACTCATTTCATTTCTGCTTTCGAAGCAAATGCAACTTTATAGTTTAATGATATTTTGTCCCCTCTACTTCCGGTTTTCTTCTCAATTTCTGGGCAGCCGGTCGCCCGTTTGGTGTTGAATTTCATCCTCCTTTTTATATCCAAAAAACACGTTGAAACTTCATCCCAGACAGGGCATTAGTGACCATTATACTCAAATAACAATGAGGATTGCATCACAACACTCTGTGTTCGCTATTTTGTTTGTATAGTTAATGTTATAAGAAATTGTCCTTTCTCTACGAAAAAAATTTAAATAAACTGATTTATCATATCATTTCAGTGAGTGTTTATTTTTGTTGCCACGTTGTGGTTTTAAAAATAAATAAATTGTTTTAATTATTTTGATATATTAATGTTAAAAATAAAAAAATATTATTTTAAAATATTTCAAGCAAAAAAACATTTTAAAAACAAATTTATTAATATAATGAAAGCAAAAAAAACATTTTAAAAACAAATTTATTAATATAATGACTAGCTTCATCTAAAATATGACAAGACATGTGATACTGTGTGTACATCGTAAAAAAAAATAAAAATGACATACATTTTTTTTTTAAACAGTGATCTCCATATGACATATGCGATTTTATCTACGTATCTTGTTTTTATCCATAGCTTGAGTATCTGTAATATTTTTTATGTCCTTTCACGCCATCCTATCATGCAATGTAATATGGATGACTTTAGGAGACCCGAGTCCTCCATCATTCAGACTCTGACAGCTCCTCAGCTGGGCCAAGTCATAATTCCGAAAGCCAAGAGGATCTAGAATGCATCAAGTATCGGCTAAAATGCCCTAATATGACGGCAAGATATTGTGACAAATGTCTTATTGCATGGATTCTAGTCCAGATGAGGACATGGAATACCTAGCTGGAAGCAGCCCACGAGCAGGGCCTATGCCTGACTTGACGGGAAAAAGATTTTCATTTATTTTATTTCTCTTGTTTTTTCACCGAGTCAGACAATAGGCAAGGCATGAAGGGCGATGCACCATCTCTTTCTGATTTTGAAATGAGCCTGGGCCCATGGACCACTGCAGTTATTGGATCTTGCCTCTCTAAAAACATGGAGGTGAAGCGGATGGTTTGGGTTGTGGGTCCATTCTTGTAACTGGGTTGGTCCGCTGGAGGAGATGTGTTGAGAATTATAAACTGGGATTCCTTTTCCAATGGGCCCACAAGCGATTTCCATACGGGGAAGGTTTTTTTGGGAGATCAATGTGAAGCCCACCTTATTATTATTATTATTATTTAAAATATTTTTAATTTAGAAATGTATTAAAATATTTTTTTATTTTTTAAAAATTATTTTTAATATCAGCACATCAAAATAATATAAAAAATATTAATTTAAAATAAAAAATAAAAAATTTACAAATCTTTTCAAAAGTGTTTTTCAAATAAAAAAACAAAGCCATGCTTTCCCCTTTTCTTCTTAGTTTTTAGGATACTTTAAGAAAAATAACCATTAAAAAAATATCTCTCCAACCTACCTATCAAAAAAAAAAGTAATCCTACTCAGCATGTTAACATAACAAAAAATACTTTGTTAAACAAGACTAATAATAAATTTTGAAAGTGTTTAAAATTGTGATAGTAAGTAAAGTATTTTTTATTTAAAAATATATTAAAATAAAAAAATTATTTGTTAAATTTATTTTTGATATTAACTTATCATGAATATTTAAAAATATATAATTTTATTTTAAATAAAAATAAATAAAATTAGAGAAACCGCGTTCCCAACATGGTATTTTATTTCCAACCACAATCGTGATTGTGGCCAGCTTTTCCCGCTGACACCCATGGTATCAAAGGCCAGCATCCCACTTCTTCTTATTGGCGCACTAATTTCCCTTTAATGGGCTGATCATTGCTTTTGGAAATATGCCACCACCTTTCCTCCATGGACAGAAACGACATCCTTACTCTTATTGCAGAACCGTCGGTGGATGGAAACCAAGAACCAGATTGATGGGATTTTGGCTATCAACCTGCAGTCGAAGAGAGTCTCACAAGGCTTAAATGACACGACAATTTTCTTCCAGTCATGAACTGCAACCCAACGCGCATGAAATTGAAGAGCTCGCTCAGGATCTACTCATAAAACAAATCCAAAATCATCTACAGATTGACCTTGGAGTAGAATGATTAATTAAAACACATGCCTCGGATTCAATCCACCGAAAGAGAAGTGGAAGAACATGCATTAATAAACTTTTCAATTTGATAATGAGACTCACCAACCACACTAACTACTAAGTATAAATTAACACTAGAAAACACTCTTAATCCCCATCGTCTTCTTCAAAACTCTCTTCTGGCTACCTCATGTGTCAAATGGGAAGCATTTCTTCAAACAACAAAAGCATATTCCACATCTCAATCCTCTTCCTTCCATGTTTCACTTGCCTTACTTATTGCCAAGACTTTCAAGGCCGGTCTCCATTGATATCACCTCCATTAATTCCAGAAATCTTAAACTTCTTAGACCAAAGGCTTGCCTTAGTATATCCAATAATCCAAGACTTCAAGAACACTATCACCTCTGATCCCCTTAACATCACTCAAACTTGGGTTGGCGCGGATATATGCAACTACAGAGGCTTCTACTGTACTAGTCCACCTGATAATGACTCTGCCATTACCCTAGCTTCCATTGATTTCAATGGATTCCAGCTATCTGCCCCTACTCTCGATGGCTTCATTGATCAACTCCCTGACCTTGCTCTCTTCCATGCCAACTCTAACAAATTTTCTGGCGCCATATCACCAAAAATCACCAAACTACAGTTTCTTTATGAACTAGACATAAGCAACAATAATTTCTTTGGCAGTTTTCCCATGGAGGTTCTTGGAATCCCTGCCCTATCATTTTTAGATATCCGATTCAATTTCTTTACTGGAACAGTTCCTCCACAAGTATTCACTCAACGCCTTGACGTACTCTTCCTCAACAACAACAATTTTATGCAAAGACTCCCTCAAAACCTAGGCTCGACCCCAGTGCTTTACCTCACCTTGGCTAACAACAAATTTATCGGTCCGATCCCACGCAGCATCATTGAAGCTTCCGCGACATTAACTGAAGTGCTGTTCTCGCACAACTTACTTACAGGTTGCCTCCCATATGAACTAGGTTTTTTGAGAAATCTAGTCCTTTTTGATGCTAGTAACAACTTCTTAACCGGTCATTTACCATGCTCGTTGGGATGTTTGGCTAAGCTTGAACAGTTCAATCTGGCCAGCAACTTATTGTATGGACAGGTGCCAGAGGTGTTGTGCGCCTTGGGGAAATTAGTGAACTTGTCACTTTCGAGTAATTATTTTACAAAACTAGGGCCAAAGTGTGGGGAACTAGAGAAGAGAGGCGTTCTTGATATTAGAAAAAATTGTATTCCTGACCTTCCTGGTCAGAGATCAGCGCGGGAGTGTGCGGCTTTCTCCTTGCACCCTAGGTATTGCTCAAACCCTGCTTCGTTCAACTACATTCCTTGTAAGGTTCCATCATCATTGAGTCATCCTCAGATTGGAACAAAGAGAAATTTGGTCGGTTATAGTGCTCTTTTGAGACAGGCAGTTGAATTTCCAGGAAGAAACTAAGAATGTATGAAAGGTTTGTCTGAACAATGTAAAGGCTGATATACAAGCTGCACAAACTTCATGCTAATACGAATTGCAAGAATTGTCCCGAAAAAAAATATGCAAGCTGTACTGTTCACAAAACAAATATCGCTACTTGAAATCGTTCCTTCTAGACTCGGTATGTGTTGTAGTTACCCTTAATTGCGCATAGGCTGTGTGGCACAAGGGCAAACAAGATTGACCATCATCAAATTAAGGGCTCAACTGATTATGGTTGTAAAGGACTAAAGAGTAAATTTGGTTCTTGCCCTCCCTAATTTTCTCCTTGATAGCTACAACAATGTGCATCAACATACAACTTGGGTATGTAATATCGTAGGTGGATTTAAAATCCAAAGGCTGTCCATCTGGGCCTATCTCAGGCTTACCAAATCTCAATCCGCTCGGATTAGCATAAGCCTCTGAGTTCAACTCGGTCCTACTATGGTGACCAGGAAAGTACAACCAAGTACGGTGCTTGAGAAAGCGCAGATGCGCCCGATGAGGCAAACAGATGATTTGGTGGTTCTTGTATTATTAACGAGAAATTTTAGATTACTTCGTAGGTAATTAGACGAAGTCGTCAGATTTCAGACGATGATGAGGTTCTTTATACAGTCAAGAAGGACTGGAGATGTAGAAGATGATTGATGAATCTACAAAACAAATCTTCATTACAGGATGAGGGTTTTTGCAGTCATAGGTTTAGTTTTTAGGGAGGAAATGGATAAAATCATGCGAGGATTTGAGGCAAAATATTGGGAAAAAGAAGATCCTTGAATCCTGGACCTCCTTGTTCTTTATGCAGGCATAGAACTTATAATGCGGATATTGTTTAAAATTATAGAAAATTACAATTTCAGTGCACAACCTTTGATTTGAATTCTTTTTTTTAGTGCTTAACCTCTAATCTTACTTATTTAAGTCTTTTATCTCTAATTGTTTTCTATTTAAGTTTTTTCCATAATTAAAGATTGTTAAACATTGATGTGGTTACTATCAATTGACACGTGAATCACATTATATTGGCATTTAGCAAGATTACGATGTCTAATCTCTAAGTTCATTTGTTCTTTGTATATGTTTCTCATTAAAAATAAACTTCTATAGTAAATATTGGTAATTACTATTAAAATGCTCTATAGTTGTTTGGATTGGTTCCCTATATTTTCATGAATGTGTTAGTTTTGTTAATTAGCTATTAAGATATGATTATGAAAGAATCTAAGTATGAAAAATAACCCCAAAATAGTCATGTTGTTAAAAAAACCATGGAGCTCCATTCCACCGGAGTTTCAACACAATTTAAATTTAAATTTAAATTTTTGTTTAAAATAATTTTTTATATTTTTAATTATTTGGATATAAATCAAAAATTATTTTCAAAAAGTAAAAACTTACTAAGATATATTTTTAAAAACAACTTTTAACGTATTCTTAAACAACCCTCTCTTCATTTAACAAATTTTGTGGATGTATCAAACAAGGTTTACTACCGTAGCTTACCATAAACATAGCAGAAAGCCCGGATCTCTGTGGATGTATCAAACACGTTTCAATTCAAGTTATTTGTTTGAACTTTAGACTTTATATTCATTGGAGATGTCAATAAAGCTACCATGTATTTTCTTTTAGGCACAGTCATCGAATATCTGTGACTTGTGTATGGATGCAAAATTCATGTAAAATGCTCTTTTTTTTATTTCTGTGAAAACCTGAATAATGGTAGTCATTATGCTAACAACGTTACTTATTTTCTGAACATTCTAATAGGAAACTATAACAAGACAGTCATGTTAATGTGCTGCATATTCTTGCTTGCTTGTCTCAAGGGCCATTAATGCATCTAGCAATGCAGTTAAATCAAAGTAAGACGATCCTCCTCCTTCCGTTACCTTCCTTTCTATCTCTTTCAACTTCCTTGCTCTATTTCATGTTTCTTCTTCGTCAACCATCAGCTGAATAATTGCCTTCTCTATGTCGGCCTTCCTCACTAGAATTTTCTTTTCATATCTTGACCATTCCTGGGCACCAACTCCAATTCCTATTTTTAGAACATATGCAATCAGATTTTCATTATCAAACTGCTCTGCATAAAGTGGCCATGTGGCCATTGGCACCCCTGCAGTCACTCCCTCTTAACATTGAGTTCCATCAACAATGAGTCAAGAATCCTCCAACAGCTTCATGGTCGACGATTAGCACCTGTGGTTCCCATTCCCTTATCATTAATCCTTTCGCATCCATCCTTCTCTCAAATCCTTCCAGCAACCACTCCTCCACGTCTTCATTCTTTCTCACCTCACCCTTTCTTACAACCCAAATGAAATTCTGGAAAAAAAGCTTCAAGAGCTAAGGCAATCTCACATGATTGAGTAGCTGGAAGTCAAACAAGCTTTCAAAACAAATATATAGAACTGAGTTGGGTTTCTTCAAGGCTAGCCATCTCAAACATTCATGTTCACCAATGGATGCGATATGTTCTCTTTCTGCTTCATCTTCAATGTTCTTGTTGCAAAGTGATGGCGGCTGATGTGCCTTGCCTTCCTGTAGTGTTCTGAGTAAGCTGGTTCCAGCTTATGCAAACTATTCATGAGGACTCCATAGCTTCTCACTTCTGATTCTGACATTTTATTTAGCTTGTAAGTCCATTCTCAGTTGTCTGTTTTAAGTAATCTGGCAGTTGCATTTGCTGTCTTATCTTCTTTATCTGGTCTGTTAATTCAGGCACTATAGAAGGTTCAAAATCTGAAACCACTCTTTTATGGGAATCACATCGTTTTAGGGAATCAAAGAAAAACATGCAAAAAAAACTTGTTCCATTGGAATTCAACCTTGAAATCCCGACCTTGTCAACAACTCCTGTAGCCCACAGAAACATCATGTCTGCCACGAGACAATTTGGGTGGCATTCTTTAAGGATCTGTTAAAGTGGTGTTGAAGCATGCTTATGGCCTTTAAGAGATCCGAAGTCATGTTCCACGATTTATTAGAACTTAGGTTCTCACACCCTTCAGGCAGCCCTGCCTCAGCAGAAGGAAATTTTATTATGTGAGTGCTGATATGGGGAGTGGAAATTTTATCAAGATCCAGTTTCTAATCTCTTTCTGCTGTTTTAGATAAGAGGGGTCCGTTATGGGGAGTGGAAACGACGGTTGCTTTAATCCTATTCCTAGTAACTAATCTTTGTCATGTCTACGGTTGTGATCATGTGGCCACGAGCCATATACGGGAGAAATAGGACATGAAGCTGATGTGCTGTGAATCTATGTGGCCAGGTGATGTTTCGAATTAAAAGAGACAGGTAGGAAAAGGCAACAAAAGCTCAAGGGGTTTTTTGGTAATTAACAAAACTTGATAGTATAAATAGAAAAAAGGAAAGAAAGAGAGATCTGCAATTAAGAGTGAAAAATTGGGAGAAGAAAACGAAAGGAAAAGAAGAAGAGAAAAAAGAAAAAGATAAAGGAAGCAGAATAAATTTAGAAAAAATAAGTTTAAAGGTAAGATTTAAATTTTAAAATGTATAAATATTTTTTTTTAATTTTAAATTTTTGTTATGATAAATGTTAGAATTTAAAGATTGTGTTTTGGGTTTATTGATGAATTAATTTGAATATTGTGAATTGATTGTTGTAGATAATGTGTTAATAAGTTAATGTTGAGAAATTGCAAGTAAAAATAATGATTTTGAATTATGATTTGTGTAAATAGTGAATTTTAAGTTAGAAATCTGGATAGAACAGTAGGCTTTTTATTGAAATTCTAGGCTTGAGGATGAAGATGATAAAAATTTGGTTTGGTCCCTTCATTTATGAAAATTATAGTTTAGTCCCCAAACTTTGAAAAAATTACAAATTGGTCCCTGAAATATATTCCGAGATTCTGGATAGAATAAAAGATGAATTATGGGCAGAATTCCAGTATAACTATAAAATTCTAACACTTTCAATTTGGTCCTCTAATTTGACAAAAAATTATAATTTGACCCTAAAAATTTGAAAACATTCTAGAATGGTCCCTGGAGCATAATTAGATATTCTGGAAAGAAATGAGGATGAATAATGGACATAATTCCAGTATAACTACAAAATTCTAACACTTTCAATTTGATCCTCTCATTTGACAAAAAATTATAATTTGACCCTAAAAATTTGAAAACATTCTAGAATGGTCCCTGGAGTATAATTAGATATTATGGACAGAAATGAGGATGAATAATGGACATAATTCCACTATATTCATTAATTCATGATTTTTTTTAGTTTGGTCCTCCAATTTGATAAAGTTAAAATTTGACCCTAAAAAATATGATAAATTCCAGTTTGGTCCCTAATTGTAACATTAGCTTTTGCACATTGGTTTGATGAATAATTGAGGGTTATCTAGTGAATTATTACTAATTTTATTATTTTTTTTATTATGAATAGGATTTTGAAAAAATAGTTTAATTTTAGGTTTTTGGGAAAATAACTAGTTTAGCCTAAAAACATATAGGGTTATAGTATATAACCTTGGATAAGTGTACTAAATAGGTTATATGTTCTTTTAAGTTATTTTTTAATATATCTCTTTTGTATTCAGATAATCTAGATATTCTACCGGTGGGATATTAGCAAAATTTCTTTCGGTATTTGCTTTTGAATGCTGTTTGCTTTCGAGTTAGGTAAGTGAATAATTTTCTATATGCATGAGAAATATTATAAATATTTGATTTGTTAATATAAATTGTATCATGCTTATTGATAATATATATATTGATTATTATCCTTGTTATGATAAAGCATAATCTTCTTAATATGAACCAGTATGTATTTTAAATTGACTTTTGAATTGATAGCTTCTTATTTGATTGATGTCACGAATTAAGCTTTCAGATATGAATATGTCTATTTGATTACAATTATGAACCTATAGCATGCCAGTCAGAATACCCATGCTAATAGAGTAGTATTAGCCTTTGTGCGCATTGTATCTAAACTCTAAGTAGTCTAGGGAGTCACCAATCTGTGTGGACTGATCATCGCACAGTGCAGAGTCTCATGCTCATTGCATTTTGATTTTCTAATGAACTTTACCTTATGATATTCTTATTATGGTCTATTTGAGAAACCTTCGAATAAGAACTTAGAGCTA